GAGGCAAGAGACGTGGTCAGAGGAGACAAGGGGACAGCAGCTCAGGTCAGAGCAATGTGTAGGGAGCCGTAAGCCAGGGGGTGTGGGCGGCCTCCAGAAGCAGGACGAGGTAGACACAGATGTTCTCCTGCGGCCTCCAGAAGAAAGGCAGCTCTGCTGACACCAGGATTTTAGCTTTGTATGACCAAGTATGACCTCTTGGGACTTTTGACCTCTATAACTGTCCTGAGGTAATAAATGTGTGTTGTTTTAAGCACTGCATTTGAACATCTGTGGCAAAACCGGAAGGTAGCTGGCACTCGGTAACTCCTCTGTGTCCCCGAATCCCAATTTCTGGCATTCTCCCCATTCTTGCTCCCAGTGAACACACTTGCCCTCTCAGACTGGAGCTAGGACCCCGACTTCTGGAAACAGATGTGGCAAGGACTCCTATTTTCTCTGTGTGGTCCTGACTTGCAGCTGCTGGGATTTGGGACGTCTGCTCCTGGACCAACCCAGCCACAGAGGTCCATGGGGCCCTGCAGAGAGGAAGCCGGTCTCCTTGAACAGTCTGCCTGGGCTGCCACTTAGCCAGCCCAGCTTTCTGCCTGTGGTGTAAAGAGCTGGGGAGGTGGGGGGTGGGGAGGCTGGTCCCCTCCTGGGGCCAAGAGAGGCTCCTTCCTTTCTGGGGGTAGAGCTCGCCCCAGCCAGCACACGGGGGGAGTCTCAGAAGCTTACTGGTTGGACTCCAAGCTACCCGCCATTGTTATACTTTGGTTTATTACTGAAGCGATTATTACGGTTAAACCTAATTCCAACATCTGTGTAGTTCCTCAGTGGCCAAAGCATTTCCACGATCGTCCCTGGGAGGCCCGGCAGCCAGATATTTTCGCTGTTGTCCTGTGTATGAGAAGAGGGCCGCTCAGGGCTGCCAAGAGCTGCCCGTGGCTTCCAGCCGTTAGCACTTGGTGCTATCAGGCCACCAGCAGCAAGGCCCCCGGCGCCCCTAGCCCGTGTGTTCCGAGCAGGGGCTTCTCAGTTTCCCAGCTCAGGGATCTGAAGGCATCGGGCCAGGGAGCGCTGTTGATAGCATCCTCACAAGCAGCAAGTCTTTTTCACTGTACTTGTTCACTAGTGTGTCTGTCTACTCCGTTTCGTTGTAAGATGTTTGCCTCCAACTAGCTCAAGCCCCTCATTACTAAGATTTTGGAGGGGAAGGAAGGCTTTGTGCATGTCACAATCAGCCCCGGGGGCCAGCCTGGGAGAGGCCTCGAGGGCCCACGGATTGCATTAGCTGCTTAGCAAAGGCCCACCAGTGTGGGCCCTTAGTCCCAGCACCCTTTTTCCTTGATCTTGGGACTCTCCAGAGTGACCGTTCCTGAAGAGGGTCACCAAGGGCCCGACCCTGCCCCCCCCCCCGGACATATGCTGGAGAGCTGCTAGCTGATGCAGGAGTGGATTTTGCTCAGAATGATTAGCCACTCATTTCACAATTCCCGTCCCCATGTCATACTGGTCAGTCTACACCTGGGAGGACTCTGTCCCCTGCTACGCTTGGCACATAACAGACACTCAACAAATATTTGCTCGATGAATGACACTGGCACGGGAAAGGAACGGTCACCAGGACGGTAAAGGGGCATCTGAAGGAGCGGGCCTTGGGAGGAGCCCCAAGAGTGACTAACTCGTGAGGCTTTGGCCTTGTATCAGAAACCTCGCTCAGGACGTTTGAACGGAGAGACGGGAGACCTGGGGCTGGGACGGTTCAGACGGAGCAGCGGAAGGAGCCCCCACCCCCACGTTTCCTTTTCGGCAATTGTGTCGCAGCTCCTGGTGACAGAGCCCCAATTTAGGCCCTAGGGCAGGGCCCCGTAACCCGCCAAACGTGACTCTCTCCTGCCCTCCGGCTCAGGAGACCGAGGTGCAGGCCGCTCCTCCGAGGCCCGCAAAGCAGAGGCACATCAGCCCTCGGAGTGCTTGCCTCCGCGATCGGGGGAGGCGGGGGGACGGCACAAAGTCAGAAGGAAGGGTCTGGAAGGATCTGCGGCCATGGCTTCTACCCTCTAGCGCTCAGATCTCTGGCCTTCCTCCAGGAGGACAGCAGCCTCCTTCCCCTCGAAGCTCATCCCTCCTCTGGCCCAAAGGCGCCGGGGCTCATTTCACGGGGGTGGTACCGCTGCAGAGGTGGTCACGAGATGTGGAAGGCACCTTCGTGTGCCGCTGCGTGCTTCCAGAGACGCTCACTCAAGCCTTCCAGGGGTGTGTACACGCTCAGACGATTTCTAGGAGACCCTTCTGCGAAGGCTCTTTCTGTTCTAAACCGTCCCGCAGTGACCTTCTAGTCCACCATGGGTGCCGACGCTTTTCTAAGTTCCCTCTTCCCACTCTTCTTTCTACAAACCCAGTATTTCCAGCGTCAGTAATCTTTCTTCACAGGAGCACCTCAACCAGCTCGCTCTTAGCCAGGCCTGGGGCCATGCTGGAAATTCCACCCTGCCCTCTGGAGTCCTGGTGGGAAAAAAGAGGAAAGCTAGAAATGTTCCGTCCCAACACTTATTTGGCAACCCCATCACTGGGCTGATTGGGGTCACTTCGCCAAGGCCCCAGGTCTTTGAGGACCTCCTTCCACTCCTTGAAAAGTACCCTCCCAAGGAGTCTGTTCTCCTTCTGACTCAGTACACTCAAAGGCTCCCTTCTGAGGGGGCAGAGTCCAAGCTGGGTGATTGGGGACACAGTGTGGGCCGAGTTCAGGCTTCTAGAGAATGCTCCTTGACAAGGTGGAGTGAGATAATGGATTGCTCAAAGCTCCACCCTATGCTTAGTAGGCCTCTTCAGCCTCCACCCTCCACCCACCTGGATGCTTCTCCCAGCTAGACTCTGAACCACAAGGCAAACAGTATATCAACATAAGATCGTAATCAGGTTTTTATTTTCACAAACCCCTACTGTCCAACCCAGGTATTAAGTTGTAAGTTTGTAAGTTGCCCACCAGGGGGAAAAAAAAAGACTAGAAGTCTTAATGCCACAATTTGGGTCTGGAGATCTTTTTAATCCATTTTTAGTTCAACATAAATGAGAAAGAAAAAATACTTCTGACATTTTCAAAGAGCAGAAATAGGAAATTATATTCATATACATTCAACATATACGGCGCAGATCGGTTACTACGATACAAAGCAATGATCTTTTACAAGTGTAGTTCGCAAGATGGCACGGTTAACGGGCTCACTGGCTCTCACCGGGGGGTCACTGGCAGGGGGCAGCCTGTTCTTCCATCCGCACAGTACCATGTAAACAGAACAGGCTGAGCGCGGGAGCGAGGGGGCGGGGGGGGGGGGGGGCGGCTGGGAGCTGGAACAAGCCCAGAGAAGTCACCGTAGCTGTTCGGGCCTTCGGGGTCGCCTCCTTCTGGTGGGAGCTGGAGGCCTCACCAAGCGGAGGGGAGATTGGGGACCATGGAAACGTGGACAGATCCCGAGAAGGGCTCTCGCATTGCAGAAATCCACTCGCAGGACCTCAGGTCCAGGAGTTGAGCTGCCAGAATCCGTGAGGACAAGCTGCATGGGAATCCTGTCAGCAACATCAGGACGGCCATGCTGGACACCCGCTTTCTTCTGTGCAAATTCAGGGTGAAAAACTAGGAGCGGACGGGGGACCCTTCACTCTGCTTTCCCAGGAAAAAGGATCAAGAGTCAGAATATTGAACATCTCCTTCTTGCTCTGACGATCAGAAGGAGACGGACCAGATGCTGTCAGCCCCCAGCCGGCAGAGAAGACTTTGGTTTCTAACAGTGAAGAAACACAAAGAGAGCGGCCGACGATTGCGGTTGCGTGCGCACTGTTTCCCGGGGGT